TGCGATTAGTGACTCGTGATAATGCCACGTAAAGTTGTCCATGACTGAACACAGGTTTCTTAAGTAATAACCCAACATGCGTCAATGATTGTCCCTGACTTTTATTAATCGTCATAGCATAAGATATCATAATCAGAAACTGTTTTCTTTGAAATTTAAAGGGAATTCTTGTATCCGACGGTGTAAGCAATAATCGGGGGATAACAACTTCTTGGCCAATATTTTTCCCTGTCAAGACTTTGCCTTGAATTAGATGATTGCCATGTCGTGTAACGATCAACCTTGTTCCATTGCACAAACCTGAAGACTGGTCTATATTCCTCAGCAACATCACCGGTGTCCCAATTTTTAACTTCAATTCATGGTTTGGGACCCCAAAAGCTCGGATGTTATTTAAAAATTCAGGAGAATGCATGTCACTTAAGAAATCTGAATTTGAATCGGATTTACACACCGCATCTGAACTCAAGTAACTTTTAGCTTCACCTATTTGGTTCAATGAGGTCATGTATTCATTGATTTCATCAACCACTTCTAGAGGTCAAGCATGAAGGTTGGAAAATCCAGCCGACACAACGTTTTCACTTCAGTGTCTTCGAAAAACCCTAAAAGCTTATCATTTGAAGTGGTTTTCAAACTTTGGTAGTTATCATGAACAAAAACATTTCGAATGGCAAAAACACCCCCCTCGGTGATTTGATTTGCAAATTTATTTTTTTCGGGTCGGTTGAGATGAGCGTGAATCCTCGTTCCCTATTTTAAAAATAAGCAAGTGAGATATTGAGATTAAATTTAATAATAATAATTCAAAAATGAAATACAAAAGTTGGGGAATACGATACATGTTCATCGTGAAATATGATCTCCATGGAATCCCCGCCTTTAGCCCACTTCGGAACAAAGTAAACGCGCACAGCCCTTAACATGAGAATCCAAGTTTTTTTAGTGTTGTTTAGAGACGTAATTGGAGCAAACATGGTTCGCACTCCTAATATTCTGGATTGTAATAGATTTATTTTACTTCCTAGCACTCATGTGTACATTATGCAAAGGTTGTTGGTTTATATATATACGGAGTGTATGTGTAATGGTGCAAGTGGATTGTAATACATTATTACACGGTGTGTAAGTGTAATAATGGATTGGATTGTAATAGATTTGGTTTATGGAGCCACACAACCTTTTTATTTACTTTATAGATAGGCGCACCACTTTAAAAAAGAATGACATGACAACTCATGTGATTTGACACAGGTGATTTTACTTTTTAGATAGGCCCAATCTGATTTGACATAGCCCAGTTGCCCAGCCCGCTATAGCCCAGCCCGATTTTTGGCCCAATGAAGCACCCTAAGTTTTGGCGGGAACACTGTTCCAAAAAGGATCCAAGCATTATATATAGTAAGATTACAATGAATTGAATGTTGACTATTAATTTGGAATGTAGAGAGTATTGATTAGTATCACCATGTAAAACGTCATAAATACGGAGTATAATCAAGAGGGAAAGACACTCAATCCAGTAAATCAAGTGAGTGACACGATTCACTGGCTTCATAGTAAAAGATTTATTTTTATATTATAACGAAAGAATATTATTCGCGTAATACTAAGGATAGATACTATTTGTGTCTGGTGCCGTGGATTATTGGTTAATGTGGATGAATCAAAACTGGAATCCTTTTGGGTTAGTTTTGATGCAGTTCCTTACAATACGAATACAATATGACTCCAATTCCAATTCTTTTATTATGTTTTAAAATAAATATACATAAAAATAATAATTTGATATTCAATTAAGTAAAAAATATATTTTTTTCACAAGTTTAGTCATCTGTTAAATTACATATACTCCCAATTCTTTATTGATCCATGTTCCCCAAGTTTCAATTTCGATATAATTATGAACTGTTGATTTTGATATCGATTTAAAATTGTGTTCACTCTTATATCTCGTAAATAAATGGTAATTATATACAAATCAATTTAATTTTCTTCATGAGACTCGTTTATGGGTGGACACGGTCCGGTTTTAGTTCCTAAACTATTTTTTTTTTGTTAGATTTAAGTTTTGGTGCAAGAAAATAATACTCCGTATATGACTAAAATATTTATCTAAATGTAATTTTACTTGTAAAATAACTCGAACCGGTTTCTTCTATCCGCCCCAAGCATTCCGGTTCCTGTTGAACAACAGGTTCGGAACCGTGTCCAGTAAATTAGGTTAAGTGAGAAGAGAACAAAAGAAAATGGAAAAAAGATGGATAGATGCACGATTCTGTTCTCCATCGGACCCGATGCACGAAGATCGCAGAGAAAGAAATGATCTTTCTTGAACCTCTCCGGCGAAGCTTTTCTCACCATCGTCCTCGTCGTCTTCTACTGAATTTCTATTTTTTGTTAAACAAGATTTGGTTTACTCTCTGGGCTCAACCTCCGAGCAATAATTGCAGATTGTCTTTGAACTGTGCTGTTAAGTTGGAGTCCAGGTGAGATCTACTAATGACTCCGATTACCGTGCCTTGCGATTTTGGTTCAATTTGAACACTTAGATCAAAGTTTTTCAATTGTTTGGATACGATTTCTGTGCAGGTGAATGACAAAGGTTGCTGATGGATATGGATTCGGAGAGGGATTTGATAAGTGATTTGCCTCAAAGCATCATAGAAACCATCCTAGTTAAGCTTCCTATAAGGGATGCTGTGATGACAAGCACCTTGTCGAGCAAATGGAGGTATAAGTGGTCTACCATTACACAGCTGGTTTTCGATGACAATTGTGTTCCTAACACTTGCTGCGACAAATCGATTGTCGAGAGCAATCTCATACATTTCATTGCGGGATTTTTGTTTCTTCACGATGGGCCTATTCATAAATTTGCATTATCTAGTTCGTGTCTGTCGAGCACGCCCGATATAGATCAATGGCTTCTTTTCCTTTCTAGGAAAGATATAAAGGAATTGAACATTGAGTTAGGGGAGGGTGAATGGTTTAGAGCTCCTTCTTATCTCTTCTCTTGTCAGAAGTTGACTCGCTTGGAGCTGCTTCGGTGTGAGTTGGAACCTCCTCTGAGTTTTAAAGGGTTTTCATGTTTGAAGCATCTCAATCTTCAACAAGTTATTATTCCACCGCGTGCCATTGAAAATCTCATCTCAAGTTGCTCTCTTTTGGAGGATTTGATGTTATCATACTTTGATAGTTTTGAGCTCACTATTCGAGCCCCAAAGCTCAAGTATCTAAATTTGGAAGGAGAGTTTAAAGAGATATTCCTTGAGAATACCCCGAATTTGGTTACTATATCTGTTTCCATGTATATGACTGAAGATAAAACAGAGCACTTTGAACAAAGCTCGGGTTGCAATTTTGAAAAGTTTCTTGGTAATGTCCCTCATATCGAACAGCTTGCCGGGCATATTTACTTCACTAAGGTAAGATTTCTTGTATTTGGTGATGCATTAAGAATAATATGATTTATGTATGAGCAGGTTGCTGATTGTTCTTATATATTCTCCCTCTCCTTTTAGTATCTCAGTATAGGGAATGACAAAGAAAGCAATCCTATGGTTTACCTCCATCTCAAGGTTCTTGAACTATATCAAGTGAGTTTTGAAGACCTAAATGAGATACTTGTCGTTCTTCGCCTGATTATAAGCTCCCCCAATCTAGAGGAGCTACACATATCGGTAAGCCATTGTTAAAAAAAGCATTTCCTTTTACAGTTGTACGCCATCTGCTCACAAATAACAGTCCATGAACTAATTGCATTTTGTTTACAAATAATTGTGCATTCTTTAAGAGAATTGCCGTGAACTGCATGTGGTTTTCCTTGTAAGGAACCGAGGAAGCGAGGAATAATTTTTGGGTTGGATGTGAAAGGAGAGAGTGAAGATTTTTTTAATAGACAGAGAAAGTATCATATTTAACAATCATTTCTAATGGACATTCTGAACATCGTTTTTGTTTTTTTGGTTTTCTCTGTTAGGGTTCCGCATACACACCAAGTGACTGTGAGGATGATGATGTTTGGGAGAAAGGGTTGCCTGTTGGTTGTACTTTCAACAAGCTCAAACTTGTAAAGATAACTGATTTCTCCGCCGTCTTGCACGAAATGGCTTTTATCAAATTCATGCTTGCTCATTCCCCAGTTCTCGAAACAATGACGGTCTCGCCAAGTTACTGCACTGTGGATAAAAAATTGAAGGCACTGATTGAGTTGGTTAGTTATCGCCGTGCTTCTCCTGTAGCGACGATCCAGTTTACTTAACCGCAGTCCTAGAAGATGCCACAACTCACAATCCTTTACTGTTGGCAGCATATATGTTGATCAAGTGGAATTGTGAGAGCACTATAATAAGATGTTGATCAAGTGTTTTACCAATAGACTTGGATTCTGTTCTCAAAGACTAATATTTGAAGTTCAATTTTTTTAGTTATAATTTATTCTCTTTACAATGTAATTTGTGTCATGTAAAATAAAGCTTACAACAATAACATCCAACAAACCCAATAAAAATCCCACTAACAATACCATTATGTGTACGCATATCTTACCCCTATTCCAAAGTAGAGTGGTGGTTTCGATCAAGAGACCCCATGTAAAATACAGTTTTAAAAGATATTATGGATACATGTCAAAAAAGATTTATGATATACTCTCTCCGTTCCTAAAAACCTTTCGCCTTTCTTTTTTATCCATCCCAAAAAACTCTTCTAATTTCTATTAAAAAGTCGTTTTTACCTCTACTAATTCTTAATCTACCTGTCACGTTACATCTATTCATTATTAATCTACATATCAAATCCTATTTTTACCCGTTACATCCAAAGACTTTTTTAGAAACTCAACACCAAAATTCACTTCTTTTAAATTCCTTAAAAATCACAATATCCCATTTTTTAGAGACGGAGGGAGTAGTATTTAAGGAAGACACTAAAAAATTAATGTCATTGCCCTTGAAAGAAGACAACGTGAGATGAGACCCTTTGCACATTCTTAAATTTAATCACAGGATCATTCATTATTTCTATACTCACATTTCCACAAAATTTCTTTCACAAAAATAAAACTAAAACTTACTTTTTTTTTAGTTGTTTGGGTATAATCCAAACAACTAGCTTGAACATTTTCATATACAATCAAAAATTAGTTGCCATTTATCAGAGGCATAATCATCACCTAGGACCAGAGAGTTCCATGGCTTGAACAAGAAGAGAGGAGTCCTCAGTAAGATCAGAATATCTATCTGATGAAGACAACTCATTATTCAATCTGCTGCATTTGGTAGCAGCAGAAGAGGGTTCAACCTTTTGAGAAGCTTCCCACTTCTCCGCGAGCCCGTCCCCTTCCAGCATTCTCACCACCTCCGACATCTTCGGTCTCTGGCTCGGAAGAAATTGTGTGCACAACAATGCCACCTGTACTGTCTCCTCCAGCTCTATCCTGTCGTAGCAGTTCTTCAAGCCGTTGTCTACCAAAACATCAAGCTTTTTCTCCAGGTGAATCTTCTTCACCTGCAAGTAATAATGTATGATCTTGCAGTGGATATACTAGTATGTTGCTCTATCTTTTCAGTGTTGTTTAAAAAGATTGAGTTTTTTCCGTCATTTAGCCCCGGACTTTTCAAAAATTGCGCAGATTCCCCCTGAACTTTTAAAAACATTGCACCAATGGTCGTTCTGTGTTGATATACGTGTTGGAGCTTGAAGAAGATGTCATGGATTGATGAAGAGCTTGACCGATTGATGACGAGCTTTATGAAGTGTGGCCTTCAAATTCGGGTACCGACGACTAAATCGAAGATAATTATCTAGGGTTTAAAGAGGTTAAAAATATACTCCCTTCATCCCATAAAACCTTTCTCCTTTCTTTTTTCATCCGTCCCAAAAAACACTTCTCATTTCTATTAAAAAGTCACTTTTACCCCTTACTTTTTCATACCCTACCTATCACATCATACCTTTTTACTAATAATCTACCCATCAAACCCTACTTTTACCCATCACATCAAAGGACATTTTTGGAAATTCAATACCAAAATACACTTCCCTTAAATCTCTTCAAAAAGCAAAACATCCCATGTTTTATGGGACGGAGGGAGTAGATGATAATGTTTGGGAAGGTCATATTGCGGAACTCACATGTGATTTATGAATTTAGATGATTTCATACTTGCACTGGATGAGCGTGTGATTTACGCACTCCTATATCTGACGTAGAAGGACCATTGGTGGAACATTTTTGAAAATTCAGGGGAATCGGTGCAATAAGCCCATGGGAAATCCGTGCAATTTTTGAAAAATTCAGGGGTAAATAACGCAAAAAAAACTCTAAAAAGATTTTATCCTTTTGTTCATCTCTATTTAAACAATACTTCTGCAACATCATTATGGAGCTGAATCCCTTACCCAATCAAGCATGGCGCCTTTCTGGTTTGCTGCTTTACCAAACTCCAAAGCTCTCTGTCCAGTGATCAGTTCCAGCAAGAGTATCCCGAACCCAAAAACATCGGTTTTCTCGGACGATTGGCCCGTGGAGAGATATTCCGGCGCAATGTGCCCCACTGTACCCCTAACTGCAGTCGTGACGTGCGAATCACAATGATCCAAAAGCTTTGCCAATCCGAAATCTCCAACCACGGCCTCACAGTAATCGTCCAGCAGTATATTGGCGGCTTTGACGTCTCTGTGGATGATTTTCGGGTCACATTGCTCATGCAGGTATAGCAAACCCCTTGCAGCTCCCAATGCTATTCGCTTTCTGGTTCCCCAATCCAATGGCGGTTTACCTGGCAAAATGAGTTAATGAGGTATTGAGTTCAACCTTTTTGGAGATGTGCAGATGGCATTGTTAAGAGTGAGTTTACTATTTTGCCCTCAATGTAAAGTCTCGCTAGCCCGTAATGTAGAAAACTTTCCAAGGCGTTGAGCCCCGTTTGGACGCATTTTTAACGTGTCTACATTATCAAAAGTGGGAATGAAGTCATGAGGTCTATGTGAGTCCCATTTGAATTTAATGGAAAACACCTGACTTTGTTTCCACATTTACCAAAGGTAAAAACCATTTACCTTTCAGACGGGAAGCTACGCTTCCATTGGACATATAAGGGTAAACCAACAATCTTTCACTCGAGGTCATGCAAAAGCCATAAAGCCTGAGGAGGTTCCTATGTACAGCCAAGCTGATCATCTCAACTTCTGTCTGAAACTGGACATCACCACTGGCTGTATTGCCATCTTTCAGCCTTTTTACTGCTACCATTGTCCCGTCTTGTAGACGACCTTTATAGACGTTTCCAAAACCGCCCTTCCCCAATAAGTTCTTGCCTGTGAAGTTGTTTGTGGCAACCTGTAGTTCTCTGAATTGGAACACCCTTAAATTTCCCAGGCACACTTCTTCCTTGTGTTGTTCTGAAGTCAAACAAACATCTCAATGTTAAAAAAAAAAAACCGAAAACATTATCTTCTGTTAAGGAAACAAATCGTATATTTTTATTTGATGTACTCCGTATATTTTGTTAATTATTCTAATGATTGTATATAATTCAGTTTCTTTGTGTGTTCCTATGTAATCTTATCTAAAACACACTCACCGTTAACGTCAAAGAATATCTGTTTTGTTCTTCGTTGTCCACACCACATTGAGAAACCAATCCCAACAATGACCAGACAGATACATCCCAGGCTTGAACCAAAGGCTAATGCTACTTTCAGAGTTTTAGATTTTGCGGATTTCCGTTCACCTTTGAAAGCCAAAAGGAAATCGTGTTTGGTTAACAATCCATATATGTTAGCTAGTGGCCGGAGGCTCAGGAAATATTCTATATTATAAGGTAAAAAAGACAGCAATAGCCTGTTAAATGTCAAGAAAGTACCAAAGGTGAAAAAGAAATGTCTTACTTGGTGAATTGATGAAAGGGGAGGGAGGCACAGTGGTTGTCCCATTGCACTCTGACTCCTTTCCAGTTTTACATATCTTAGTATTCCCCAAGATGCTATACCAAGTAAAATTTACAGTGAGTAAATAAAGTTTCTGCTTCGATCCCATTTACTCGGGGTAAAAAAGAATACAGAACACATTTCAAGAAGATTACTTGAAGGTTTTGGCAAGAAGCCTTGGAACAGGACCTTTGAGATTGTTGAAGGACAAGTCCCTGAATCACACAAAATAGAACCCATAAATTATCTCCTAAAAAGTTACTATAAACACCCATAGAAACAAGTAAATAAAACTGCCATGGAAGTAAATTACTATCTGCAGTAGAGAGGCAAAGAAAATTACAGAAATGTCAGCTGAGTCATATTAGCCAAAACCATAGGTATAGCTCCACTGAGACTGTTGTTGTTTAGCCTCCTACATCCACATTTAATATTAAAAAAATTAAACACATTTTTTATTTTTATTTTTGTAAAGGAACAAAAAAACCAAAAGCTCGAACTTGTGGTTATTGACTTGTAGACCTAGCTTGTTTTTTTAAAAGAAATGGGTGACAGTGAGATTTTAACCCGTGGCCTCCATATCAAAAGGCCCAGATATAACGTAAAAGAACCAATTAAACTAAAAGTTCAATCTTGTGAAGCGATGCTTACACATATTGGAGTGTTTTGATTTGAGCCAAAGAGGCGGGAATTTCACCGGTTAAGTTGTTGTCGGAGAGATCAAGTGTCTTGAGTCTTGGAAGGTTTCCAAGCTCAGCTGGAATCAACCCTGATATGTTATTGTTCTGCAGAAGCCTGAAAACAAAAGGAGGAAGAAGAAGAAGTCATGGACATTATCATTAGATGGAGTGAGTAGTGATCTGTTTGGTTGGTTAAAAAAGGAAAAGAAGAAGAAGAAGAAGAAGAAGAAAACTCACACAATCTCAAGGTGGGTCAGATTGCCAATATGGGGTGAAATTGTGCCACATAAACCTTGGCTTGGAATTGCCCTGCATCAAAACATCACCCAGCAGCCCTCAGAGTCAAAGTGTGGCAGTGAAGGAAATGGGCTATTAGTTAAAGGGAGAGTGAAAGTCATTAGGGAAGTAAAAGAAGAAGATGGGTAAAAAACTCACAAGCCAACCACAAATTTATCAGGAGAACAAGTGACCATACTCCAGCTGCAGGGATCAACAGCATTTGCATCCCAATTCGACATCGCCCCGCGAGAATCCTCATCGAAAGAAGCCTTCATCTCCATCAATGCTTGAACTGCTCAAAAAAAATTTACTCCACAGAATTTATTACTGTGCTCTCTTGCATATCAATGAAATCCCTCCTGTAAAAGGTTACTACAAACAAAACAAAAAAAGACCCAGACAAAGAAAGTATAAATGAATACCTTCAAAATTGACACCATCAGGGGAAAGCATGGCAGTGGTGGTGTGGCAAACAAATGAGGTAAAACCCATCATCATCATCAAGTTCAGGACATGAAGAAATCCCATTGTTCTTCTGCTCAAAACAAATACATAGTATGAGACACTGAAGAACAAGAAGATGCAAAAGAAGATAGAAGAAAGAAGAATGAAAGTGGGTGGTGTGATATATATATATATATATATATATATGTATGTATGTATGTATGTATGTATGTGTATGTATATGCAGTAATGGGCTGTTTGTTTCAGCCTCTTAATGGTTCAGATGTCTGAATGGTTAAGAGATTTGCCTCTGAATGTTAAGTATTATACAGAGTCTGAATGGTTAAGAGCTGTTATCTGAATTGATCAGACATTTGCCTCTGAATAGTTAAGCAATATACTAGCTCTTAATGGTTCAGACCTCTTACTGGTTCAGCACTTAATGATTCAGACCTCTTACTGGTTCAGCACTTAGTCATTCAGAAGTTGCCAAACAGCCCCTAAGTGTATCTTGTAACAATTCAAAGTTCACTTTTTGTGCATTATCGTAGTTTGGGTGGTAGCATATCATATGAAAACAGTACGGTTTCCCATGTTCTCTTTTTACTACACCTATGCTCAATCAAAAGAAGAAGAAGAAGAAAGAAAGAAGGAAGAAGGAGATGCAAAAGAAAGAAAAAGAGGTTTGTGTCAGTGGCTCAGGCCACCCCATTTAGCTTTGTCTGCAAAAGCAGATGCTTTGGTGGGGATAAAATGGTCATATGCTTTTCTTTGTAATAAAAAAAGATGAGCCCCATTCCCGAGGGCCTCTCAGACCCGGTCAGACGGTCACTGAAAGAAGATAAATTAAAATTTGATCGCCGATTTGTGGCAAAGAATGGAACTTGCACCTAGTACTTGCTGTCAAGAAACCAATTCAATCAAAAGCTCAAGCTTGTGGTTGTGGCCCAAGATGAGTTATTTATATTCTAACACGCTCCCTCACGTGCAGGAGTAGTTTATTTTCGAACCTTGCACGTGAAACTTTTAATTTTCTTAAAACTGGGTGGCGCTGAGTTTCGAACCTGTGACCTCTTAGTCAACCAGGCTATGTCGCTCTGATACCATGTCAAGAAACCAACTCAACCAAAAGCTCAAGCTTATGGTTGTGGCCCAGGATGAATTATTTATATTCTAACACTTGCAAAGGCCCTAATTGTCTCCCAGTGCAATTACCAGGAATCAAACTCGGATCTTACCTCTTGAAGAGATATGTTAAGGGTATAATAAGGAATACACGAAGTATTTTTTGTGAAGAGATATACTCCGTATTAAGGGTATAATAAGGAGTACATAATAATAAAATATCTAAAATAATTTTAGAGGAATAATTGAAATGAATAATGAATGGAAAAAGTGTGGAAAAGAAAACTGAAAAGACAGGGGGGAAAAGGAAAAATGAGCAATTATACATTGGTTAAGAGAAAGACTGGTGGCTCCTCCAGCCTTTGCTTGAGGATTCTTCTTTTTTTATTTTTTATTTTTTTTAAATATAAATGAGAATCATTTCTTTGATTCTAGGATGAAAAGGGATGACCCCATTCCCGAGGTTCCTTTCAGAACCAGCCTGCACTTGATACTTGCAGAAGCGTTATAGTGGAACCGAAATATGAATAAAGTTAAAGTAATTATAATAAAGTGGTAGGATGACCAATGAGTTTAGTGGTAGAGGTCTTGTCTTGTCCCACAAATCTTTGTTACTACACATTCTTTTTCACGCACTTCAATGGATTTACCAGTCATAAACTTTTTGAGTAATGCTAGGGGTACACCAAAAGGTGTACCCCAAATGTACACCACCATATTTCCTTCACACATTTTTATTTAATTTTCATTTACTTATTTTTTTGAATTTTATTGTCTTTTTAGTGGACAAGGAGGGGTTGGGATATTTGGGGTACCTATCATTTTTCAAACTTTTTTCATTAAAAAAAAGAGAATCTTTCTCTATATTTTCTCCCAATTCGTAAATTTACTTGCCCCCTCCCAATAAAGTTTGGATGGTGAAAATCACATCCTAACAAATTTTACTCTAGGTGTTATTTTTCAAATCACTCTTTGTTATGAATTCACCCCACTTAAGATATTAATATTAGAACAGACTTATTTGGTTTATTACTCCTTTTATTCATTTTTATTCATTTTAAAATATAGTTTTGAAAAAACTATATTACTCCTTAAAAAACTTATTAATTACTCCTTTTATTTATTTTTCACCCATATTAAAGTTGCCATAGTGTGACTTCTTTTTGTTAAATTGTGGTACCCTTTAACCGTGAATTATGAAAAAAGTATATTTAGCCATAATATAAATTTAGTAAAATTAAATTTATTTTAAAATATAATTTTGAAATATCAATTTTTTATAATATTTAATTATTTTAAACTATGTCTAATTCATAGTCAAATGATGTCATAATTTGAAAAAAAAATCAAACAATAGTAATCTTATAAGGACGGAAGGAGTACGTATATTGCATCCAAAACTGGTAATCATTTTTAGTTTTTTTTCCCACATACTTTCTAACAAAATGATAAGCAACTCAATGAAAGTATGTTTTGCCTCCTTTTACATGCTTCTCTCCCACGTCTTTTACCACGAATTAGATATTCAGACAAAAATATTATTACATTTACTTTATAAAATATTTTTAAAATATATTTTTTTCTTATAAATATACTATATAATTTTTTTAATTATATATTAAAAATTTAAAATAATCGACTATAAAAAGTCAAAACTAAATAAATTCTACTCCATTATTTATGTAAGAATGTCCCTAATGAATTTTAGGTGAGTAATGTTTTTTTCCCAATTTTAATTTGCATTGTGCTTTTCAATGAGTATTTTAGAAGTGACATGTTTCAAAATTCTGTTACAAAAACAGCATAAGTTAATTAGTTGAATGACCAGTAACTCCCTAAGTCAAAATCACGACTAAATTTTCTCGGGGAAAAGAAAACTCTTTGCTAAATTACCGGTCAAAGTTTGGATAATTTCACGAGATCTAACGAATTTATTATGTTTCAACGTGACCAACATCGAATTAAAATTCAATTTTTTCTTTAATATATTGGAATTAGCTTGATTACAGTCACATAAGTTGTCGTGGAAAATGATTTTTCATGGAATTGTATTATTTTATAAATTGTTATTTAGATAAATCAGACTTTGATATCGTGTTAATAAATCAATTCAACTAATAATTCAAGTAGCGATTGATGTAGAAAAAGTTATACACATCGAGCAAAATTCCAGTCTCGAATGACGATTTTTTTAAGAAAATATATAATGTACCAATATATTTTTGATGATATTTTTAAAAAAAATATGGCATTTAAGTAATCAAATATATCTTTAAAAACATGGAAAAAGAAAGAAAAAAGGGTAGACTTTTTTCGTTAACGATGGTGCTCCTTTCATCCTGTTTTAATCTTTGGGATTGATTAACATCAGCGTTAGAGGTTAACATTATTTTAAAAAAGATATAAGACGGTAACATTTAGCGTTAGCGTTTTTAGAACTAATCTATACGATTAAAATTTTATCCAAAAACACTAATCGAAAACGTTATTCCCAAACAATGTCTAAATATGAATTATCAGATCACTTAATAAATAGTGTATGAGTTAATCTCACTTTATGAAGTTTTTTTAATTGAATGAAACCTAACACCAGTTTTTATATAGGACCTCACTCGATGGATACTTGCTGACCTAATATTGAGTTGAGTTAGTATTACTACTTTTTAATTCGAAATATATACTCGTGAACATTATCCGTATTCAAATTGGCAAATATTTTTTTTGTAAAATCCTTAAAAAAAAATTCAAGACCGCATTTTCGAAGTTAATCTACACTAATAATTAAAATTCTAGAAAATTATTCAAGGTACCATCGATTTTCTGACAATAACTCTCAGGTTCCACATTATTTGAGATTGTACTACGGGGTACCCTCGATTTTCTAGTAAGAACTCTTAGGTCGCACATTATCTGGAATGTACTCTGAGGGTCTTAAAATTTATAATGTTATACTTCGAGGGTATATTCCATCCACTTAGGCTTTAGGTTGAAAGTTCGTTTACATTTAGAAACTGAAGAATGATAAGAATGATAAGAAAACGTGATTCCGAAACAAGGTCAATATCACCCATATCCTATATTGCACGGATTCTTCAAATAGGTGTCGCTTTTTGTTTCCGAAAGTTCTCTGTTCGGGTAATTGGGGGCGTCCCCACACCCAAATCCTTTATAAATTATTGAAAAATTTGACGTTTCACGCTTCCGACCCCGTTCCCGTATAGCTTCTTGTCCCCGTCTCGGTGCAACTTAACCGGCCATATCCATATGTATACAGGCCACTATACTACTGCAGGAAAATTCATACATGCACCAAATGTTAATGGTGGACCTTCACATATAGTAAATACGTATTTTCAGTGTTGAAATAAACATTTTTTAAATCCTTTAATATAAAATTTGAAAGTTTGATGTTTAGATTGTTGACACGTGGCAATTTTAGAGTCCTATTTTTTTGACAAGTAAGCATACACGTGTCTCTCCTTGGTTTAAGTAACCGAAACTTCCCGAAAGTAAATTCATAGCCGCGATACAAAAGGAAAGAATCCCCTTTCTTCCTAAAAATCTTCTTCGTGATGTAGTTTTCCAATGAAAGAAAGAAAATCTTTTCGCCTAAATCTTCGGCTGGAAAACTTTTCCGTTACTGCTCTCACTATTACTCCGGGTATGTCTTCTCTTCTTTGCCGATTTGTCGAAGGAAAGACTTCAATTTAGCCGACCTGTCTTCTCCTCCTAAAGGAAACTCTTGAATTTAGAACCTCTGCGTTCGGTCTTCTCTTCTTCACCGAAGGAAACTCAATATGCCCTCTCAATCTTCTCTCTTAATTCATATCCAAAATACAAAAGTTGATATTCCAAATTAAGAATGGAGATTCAACAGGGCAATTTACAAGGTTTGTTGTTAAAGATATGTTTCCTATATTTGAAATTCATTTTCATTTATCCCCATTTTTTCATTCATATTCATTTGATATTGTTCTTTGATTTACCTTAATTACCTACAATTTTCTTAATTGTTTCATTGTATATTGTCTGGCACATTTTCGTTTGCTAAGCTCAAATATACAGGTTTCCTTATTTACCAGTTTTCACGATTTTTGTATTAAATTTTCAAATTTTTAAAAATATTGCATATACTCAGAACTGACAAAAAATTTGTGTCCCCGTGCATACACTGAAGTCTTTAAAATCTTTTTTTATTCTAGATAAAATATTTCATTGAAAAAAAATCAGAATTGATTAAAAAATTATTCATCCACGTACGTGGCACGGGTCAAAATTCTAGTTAAAAAATAAATATGTGAGAAGGTTGATATAGACTTTAAGTCGACTGTACAATGACTCTACTAAAGAGTAATACCCGGAGTATGAATTTTTCACCCGGGATAGGAGGTAATAGTGCAATAAATTAGTCAGTGGTGTAGTACAATTGTATTGGGATTGCTATTGAATTCTTTGCATGGTTACCTATCAGACATTCCATCTCATTTGGGCCATTCAAAATTTCTGTATATTTATATAAATCCAAAATATGTCTGGCATGCCCCTGCACAAATGTTTCAATTTGTGCATTTTTACAGTGGATTATATACTCTACATTTTAAAACTGCAAAAGTTTTACAAATATATAAGTGACTTGACTGTAATTTTTTCATTCAAATTACCAATAAAAATATGTACTCTTTCCGTATTAAAATGATTTTATCAATTCGGTTTACGATGCTTGACTGAAATTATTTTCAATCCAATTAATTTAATTATAGGTGTAAAATTTAAAAATAAAAAATATATATTTTAGAACTACATCAAAAGTTTCACAAAACAAGAGGTGACATTACTATATTATTTTATCAAATAACTAACAAAAACATGTAAAAAAGTGATTACAGTTTGACAATGGAAATATTAGCTGGGAAGATCATTTTAGGACGGATAGAGTAATAAGTAAGGAGGAATGGAACAGAGAAGTAATAAAAACAGAATTTTGCTAGAGGTACACCAACAATTGTACATCATGTTTTTTTACAGACACACAGACAGGAATTGTCTGTGACTGCATAGGCAATTACAATTATTATTTGTGTGTGTATGTAACAAATGTAGTATACAATTAGTGCATAAATGTTAGTGTACCCCTCCCTATTATTTGATAAAAAAAATTAAAGATAAGGTGGAAAAAACCACAGTCCACAATTTTGCAACCACTATAGGCTTTCCTGGACATCAGTGCTACACTACCCAGCATCAAAAGAGATGTCACAGTGATGAATTCTTTTGGCTTTTGCCCATTTATGGAGAGAATTGTATGTGAACACAAAGCATGTACTAAAAGCATCCCAATTACTAGCCACTCCTTCTCTTCTAGTCTTATTCCACACATTGTCTCACCCATTTTATTTTTTACATTTCCAAAGGGTAAAAAAGAACACCCCGATTCCCATGACATTGTATCTCAATGTCATGGGATGACCCGTATAATGTACGGTATCATGTTCGTAAATTTGACGGTTCCTACTCCCCTTAACTCCTCGATAAACTTTCTCACCTCGTCCCACTCCAAACATACCCCCATACCCCTTCAAATGTACCACCAAAGTTTCTTTGACTTTGGAGTCAAAATTTTGACGGCAAAGTCAAAGAAACTTTGGTGGTGCAATTGAAGGAATGAGGGTGGGTTCGAAGCGGAGCAGAGTGGTGGGTTTATAGGGGGGAAAGGGGGTTTATAGGGGGGAAAGGGGGTTAGAGGGGTTCCAACTGTCAATTTTACGAACAGGGCATCATAGGATACTCGGATCATCCAATTTCATGGAAACCGTCTGCCCCAACAAAGAATTACTCCCATAACATTTTTATGAGTCTACCAACATTTTGCACAGTTCTTTTCTTTTTTTGAGAAAAATATTTTTTTTAAAGTATAAATGGTTGACTAAACAACTAGTCCTTAGAGATGTGTGGTATATAGACTTTTGGAACCTCTTTTTGGTCTTGAAAAAACTAAAAACAGCATAATTCTAGTTTCTCAAACGTTTTATAAACCTCAAACTTTTTATAACTTTTTTATTAACTTTCTGTAGCTTCTTACGTTAAGAACCCTAAATAGTTCATACAAGCAACTCATTTCACCCAAACATTTTGCTCATTTTGATTTTACGGAAATTTTAAAAAATATGTTGAGAAAATATTCAGTAATGAAAACTGATGCAGTAGAAAGTTTATTTTATTACAAATTTTTTTCTAAAAACAAAATGAAAAAGAAAAAAATTAGTTTGAGATGAATAGAAACAGAAAATGGAAAAAGTTTTGTAGGGAGATTTGATTTTTCTAAATAACTTTACAACTTAGCTACCACAAACATTTGTCTCTTAGCTTCCCTTTTTATGGAAAAACTCAAGATTGTATTTCAGATTGGGCTTGGCTGCTATTTTTATAAAGCCCAAAACTGCATTGCATTGATCAGAGAGTACTTAAGGTACTTTCCTTGGCCCATTTCACTGCTGGTCTATGATTGGAAAACATATACTCCGTATTTAGTTATAATTTATACTCCCTTCGTCCCAAAAAGATCTTCCTGTTTCATTTTTTGCGCGTCTCATAAAACACTTCTATCCCGCCTCAAATGCAAAAAAAACTTTCAAAACAAATTCTACTTACAATAAATGAGAAATGTGGTAAATTTTAGGCATTTTAGATGTGTATAGAAGTGTTTTATAGGATGCGCAAAAAATGAAACAGGAAGATCTTTTTGGGACGGAGGGAGTATTAGGCAAAAATCGTTTTCTTTATAAAATTGGAGTAGTTTTAAAATTTCAAATTTTTATAACATTTAATTACTTAGAACTGCATTTAATTTGGGGTCACAATTTTTGTGTAGTTTGACCAAAAAAATCAAATTGTGGTAATATTTTTTATGGAATAACATCTAAACATGAAAACTGTCAATAGTAACTTTTATTTTGGGGAGGAAAGGTTACAATGAGCACATTTGCACAAGCAATTCAATCCACATTACTAGAAAAAAAAATACCAATTTTTGTTCCACAATTCAATAAATGTTTGAATTTGAGAAGATCATTTCCATATTTGGTCTTTCACTTCTGCATTAAGTGTACAACTATCAATTTGATAACACGCTACGTTTGTCCAACTAATCTTAGTCGCCTCATTGCCACAGCAATTAAAGAAAACAGAGACGTACCCAGAAGTTAGAAAATGTGTTGAGAAAACAAAGTTTGTCATCAATTCATCATCATCCTTTGTATTGCCATTCCCTTCGGCACATAGGGCAATGAGCTTGAGAAGTTTGCGAATTCACCCATTTCAAGATGCAATGGAGATGAAATGCATGGTTGCAAGCTCCCCAAACTGCAATACCAAACAAAAACACACAAATAAGCAAACCATAGTGTGACTACTACCAATGCAACCACAATGCCTGGAATTAGCTTCGGCCTTCAGGGTTTGACGACTCTAGGGCTTCGTCCAATGGCAACTTTTGACTTTAGAACTTTCATAGTTAATTTGTATCATCTAATGAAAATCACAAGCATTGTTCCGGAACAAAAGCCCATAAGCAAAATGATGGAATAAAAGACCAATAAGATTGTGTCATGTCAGTTGTGCCATATCATTGAGTCCTCAACAGCAAGTCTTTTTTTTAAACCTTTTTTTTTACTTTATTCTCCTTGGAGGCCTTGTTTCCTTTCCTGGATGTTATATCGAAAAAAGCCTCTTTTTGTATTGAGCCATTGAGGTAAGGTTGTGTACATTTAGACACATCCGGCCCCAATGGGATTATGTATTAACTAATATTCTGCAAACATATTGAAATCAACTAACTTGTCATACCCTCCAAAGACGTCACCGCCCAAAAACACAAATATAATAAAAAAAACATAAGTACTAATGCATTCAGAGTATATATTTTAATAGATGAGCAACACAAAATAAAGTGGGAGTAAGATGTTCCGAGGCTTACTTAATGGGCAATCATCCCCGGGGATTTTACAATCAGGACAGCAGCCATCAAACGCCATTCTACATATCCCACAAGTTTCATCCTGTGCATCCCATGTCCATGAGGCAACAGCATGCCATCTGCGGTCCACATTCAAGAAACCCATATAAACTATCATTATGTGTCTTTGATTAAACATAATATAAATAGATACATCATAATAGAGGTGAAGATAGATAAAGGGCATACTCTTTTTGCAGCGTCCAATAGCACATTGCAAAATTTATGGTCAAGGGTAAACTTGTTTCACAAAAACAACAATTGAGTTTATATCATAAAATGCTATGAACTTATGGAATCTCAAGTAGTATTTTAATTATCCATCAATCCATGTGTGCATTCAAGTAACAGAGAGCAACTCTAAAATATGAACCAACAAAAATATAATGCAACAACAATAATACGGAGTAGTCTATAATGTACACAACAACAATCTGAAGTAAACATTATTGCAATGAAAAGTAAATGCATCTTAAGAAATCAAATGTATTCTAATACTCCGTAGTACTAGAAAACATTATTGCAACCAATGTACTCTTTTCAAGAACAGATAGCAAAATAAGGAGTAATTAATTTGTAATGAAACGTGATGAGCAAATATCTCACCTCATTGACATATCGACATCTTGTGATATTTTTAAAGTAGCTACAACGAAAATAGTTCTTGATTTTTTTATTTCACTATTCATTTTTTGAAGGTTCCAATAAGAAGTGCATCTGAAGTACTCCCTCTGAAGTCTGAACTAAATTGAAGTTCTCATTAACTATTCACAACGACAAACTTTATCCACTTTGTTTGCCTCTTTTTGTTACTTATTCGGTCAAATTTACAGCCATGCCACCTTTTTGCAGATCTTCTAATGTAGTTTTAAAATATACTCCATATAAATTCACAACCCAGGCACTTCATTTTGGGACGGAGGGCACGGTGTCATTGAGCCCAACCAAATGGGACTAATGTAAATTCAAGACCTAAGTTAAAACGTGCAATTCATATACCCAGTCAATGAATGCAATGTACGATTTCAGTCTACAAATTTCATTTTTAGAACAAAAAAGAGAAAGAAATTCTCCTACCTATCATAATCTCGAATCCAAATATAAGACAAAGATAGACAAAATGAGAATTCATCTTGAAAAACAAATAATATCTCAATATAAGTGGATAGTCGAACAGTCATGATCAACCACACAGTGTATATAATCATATGCAGAGCAAATCTCATTTGCTAAAAAAATCAAAACTTGAATTCTAACATATTCAATACTCCGTAAAAGAGAAGCCATAAAACGATATGACATTTATTGGATACTCAGAATCTTGACTTTCATGATCTCCTTCACTGAAACAACAAGCCAAAATATAACACACCAACATATGAGAGTTCAAATATATCTTAACAAAAATCCGAGTTATACAGAAAAATCTAATGAGAGGCAGGAAACTTGAAAATGCATTGTAGTTTTTTTAAAATATAAGTTGCTATTCTATTACCAAGGCATCAGAAAATCCTAAAATCGGATGAACTAAAACCATCAAACGCCAACAGGTCAATGAATCAATACAAGAAGATCAGTTTGCAATATAGAGAAGCAAAGAGGGAATCGTGCTCCCGATATATAAGTTTGAATCCTTATAAATAAACGGTAATCCCAGAGACGATCGGGTTCGAACTCAAATCAACCTATATACTGAAAAAGATAGAAATCAGAAGCTAAACTCACACAGCGCCTTCGATCGGGAGTATCCAATCGAAGAAGAGATCGAAGTTTTTGATGGGATTATTACAGAGAAGATGGGAGAAATCGCCGGTGAAGAAAAGACGGCCGCTGTCGAATTGCGCGCGTCAGGGACTCAGGGTTAGAAATGAATTTACACTATGACTTTTTTATACTCTTTGTTTGTTCAGCATCTTAGTAGAGTGATATAAAATTTTCAAAAAATCTAATAAAATCATTTTTATACTAATACACATCACAAATTTTGCTTAATTATAGTTCAATGTTCATTCAATTTGATTTGAAAAAGTCAAATTGAACAAATACACTGGAGCGAGGAAAGTAATACATTTTTATAATATTTTATTATTTTAAGTTATTTATTTATAATAAAGATATTTAATTTTTGGTTTGATTATAATAACATTTATAATGTTCATAATCTAACCAATCTATTAATAATATTTTTAGTATTATTTAAAACTAAATATTGAAATAATCGTTTTAACATTTGGTGCGATACTTGAATTAAGGACGGCGATTGTGTGAAACCATGGAAGAGACAACTGTGTGCATGAATCGTCAAATTTGAGATTGCGGTAATTGACAATTGGTGATAAATTGATAAATCATCAAATTTGATATTGTGGTGAATTGATGATCGTGGAAGAGACAACTTCGAATGATTTCTATTGGATCGAGTTTTCTATTTTGAGTGGTAGGTGAGGTTAGATTTCTAAATGATAAGTGGTGGCATGGTGCTCTAATTAGGTGTAATGTAAATAGGTGGAATTTGGATCAGATTCAAATTTGAATTTTTTTGAATTGCCAAACATGGTATTTAGGCCAAATATGAACTTCAGATCTAAATTCATGTTCCCAATTAAACAGACTATTACTTATTTTGTTTAAATTGTTATTGTTTGGGGGTTTGATATATGTTGTATCTTACTTAAAGGTAGTTGAAATGAATGTGAGACTTGAAATAGAAGGGAATGGAAATGTTCACAAGAATATACTCTATCATGAAGAAACTTTATAACTATCTGAATTGTAGGACATGCAAAATTAAATGTAGATCATTCAAAAGAGGCCAAAGGAAGAACTATTTTATTACAAGAAAATATTATATCTCAATTTTGGTTACAAATAAGAATACTTTTGGAACCATTTTTTTTTAAATAAAAATGGTTGACTAAACAACTAGTCCTTAGAGATGTGTGGTATACAGACTCTTGGAACCTCTTTTTGGTCTTGAAAAAACTAAAAACTACTCCCTCCGTCCTAAAACCTTCTTCCCGGTTTGATTTTTTCTCATTTTTAAGGAGTTGTATAATTAGGCTTTGACTTCCCATTTTACCCTTCTAACAAAAAAATTAGAATTTAAAAAAATTAAAGGCAATTAGGGAGAAAAGCACACAAAACATTCCATTTATTCTCAAGTACAAGTACAATTAAACATAAACAAGGACAACCCCCTTGTAAGGCAAAAATCAGAAAAGCAACCATTTCAATTCCTCCTTTTAACCTGGACGAAAATCAGGAGCAGTACCATTACAGTTCCTCCAAAATTCAGTTTGGATGGAAACCTTTAGAAGTTTTCCTCCAACACAAAAAGAAAAACAAGAACATTACTACACTTTATAAAAAGCAAACCTTTATACTTTAAGTAACCCTAATAATCTTCCTGCTTCTCCTCTCTTCTCATCAATTATGCCCCCTCCTGTGGCAGATTCTCCTGCTCCTCTCTCTCACCATTCTGCTTTCATTGTTTCCCCTACTCCCTCTTTCAACCCAAGCCGTCATGAGAATCTGTAAAGTGAACATAAGAAAAATACAAAAAGACTTTCCAAAGCACAAAGACAAAGAATTATTGAAGTCATTCTACCATATTCAAAAAAGAAAACCTCAGGGCAGTACACAGCTCAGAAAGGGATTGTCAGCAAAGTTGCTGCAGATTTTAATGTTTCAAGAAGGACAGTAGGTGACATATGGAGCAGAGCTAGAAAACAACTACTATAGGGAGTTGCCATTGATGTGAAAAGCAGAATTCCAGTGAATACAGGCAGAAAAAGAGTTTCTATAGACATTGAGTCCATTGGAAACACTCCTCTTGCCCAAAGGACAACCATTAGAGCACTGGCAGCAGCCCTCGGTATGTCTAAATTAACTATTCATCTTTGTATTAAAAGAGGTTTGCTAAGAAGTCATTCAAATGCAATTAAACCCTTTTTAACAGATGAAAACATATTGAATAGATTGTAGTTCTGTTTGAATCAATTAGAACCCACAAGCATCTCATGTAATCCCAGATTTAAAACATTTCATAATGTTCTGCACATGGATGAGAAGTGGTTTTTCATGTCTAAAACATCACAAAAGTATTATCTTACCAATGTTGAAATGGATCCATACAGAACATGTAACGCCCCGAAACCTGGCCCAAAAGAATTAATTAAATTGTCAGAGCAATTGATTACGAATTGGGCCTAAAAAGGGGTTAAAATTATAATTTGGATTTTAAGCCCAACTTTTATGTCATCTTGTAGGAAATATTTTTGTGATCGCGTCGGTTCAGACGGCTCGTGAATCGGAGTTACAGAGCTCAAGTTATGACAATTTAATCAGGTATTTTGGGTCCGAAGCCCAATCCTTTCTGGAATGGGACTATTAAATAAACCTAAACTAATTTCATCCACAAAACCCTTATCTTCTTTCTTCTTCCTCTTCCCGTTCTCCTTCTTCCTTCTTCTTCTTTTTCTTCTTCTTTTTCTTCTCCTTCTTCTTCTTTCTTCTTCGTCTTTCCCGTCCAGCTTCACCGCCAGGTCCAGCCGCCGTCGCCGAGACTCCAGAGCCGCCGTCGCTCGCCTTCCCCA